AAAGTGTTTCCCCCAAGAATGTTCTTCACTTACACTGCTGCAACATCATCAGTGTTCTGACTCCAAGGATGTTCTTCATACATGCTACTGCAACATCATTAGTGTTATCACTCCAATGATGTTCTTCAGAAACACTGCTGCAACATCCTCAGTGTTCTCATTCCCAGGATTTTCCTCGCACAAACTGCTGCAACATCCTCAGTGTTCTATCTTCAGGATGTTCTTCACACATACTGCTGCAACATCCTCTGTGTTCTCTCTCCCAAGCTAATGTTCACACATTCTGCTGCAACATCCTCAGTTTTCTTGCTTCAATGATGTTCGTCGCATATACTGCTGCAATATTCTCAGTGTTCTCACTCCCAGGATGTTTTTCACGCATACTGCTGCAACATACTCAATGTTCTCACCCCCAGGATGTTCTTCTCAAGTACTTCTGGAACATCATCAGTGTTCTCACTCCGAGAAGGCTCGTCTCACATACTGCTGAAACATCCTCAGTGTTCTCACTAGAAGGATGTTCTTCACACAACCTGCTGCAACATCATGAGTATTCTCACTCCTACGATGTCCTTCACACGTTCTGCTGCAACATTGTCAGTGTTTTCACTCCCAGGATGTTCTTCACACATACTGCTGCAACATCATCAGTGTTCTCACTCCCAAGATGTTAATCACATATATTGCTGCAACATCATCAGTGTTCTCACTCCCAGGATGTTCTTCACACATACTGCTGCAACATCTTCTGTTACAAGTGTAATAATGACTGTATTGGCCATTTTATTTACTTTATTTGGTTTAAAATCTTTCTGGTCATTAAAGTAACATTTCACCCGTTTTTATGTCAAGAACATTTACACTAATTTAGTTAGAGAATAGATAAGGCTTGGAGAGACACACAACTGTCTCTGTATATATACTCTGTATGTACTAGGGCACAAGTCAAAATTATTCAATCAGAGATACACTAGTTTTTGTATAATCAAAAAATGTCATGTATATCCTGATGTATATATCTTAAATCATTGTATTTTTTTGTTTTATGGAACAATATTTAATTTGACTTCGTGTGTGTACAGCCTCCGTGCACGAGACTGCTGGGACCTTCAACATAAAGGTGTGACTGAGAGTGGCGTCTACCAAGTGTTCCCTCAGTGGTAAGCTGTTTACTGAACCTCAGTTAATATTATTGCAGTTAATCTACTAACAATGATGTGTATAATTCTATCAGTTGTTGAACTCAGCCAACCTGTATCTTTCTCGTATTTAAAAGACATAAAACCACAAATCACTACTTCGTGTCTTCATATGTAAAATATATGTTAATTAATAATACAAAACACTTAAGAAACAACTTTTATTAGGTAAGAAGCAATAACTCTTATGTGGAACTGGATACAAAGCATTTTCAGATCTTTTCAAAGCACGGAATTAGCAAGTAAATAATGAAGGAGAATTTAAGACAGGCAACCTGAGCCAGGAAACTGTAACAAAGTAAATGTTGGGAAAGCTCAATAATCATTGGCTACATTACTGTAATTTCTTAAAAATAACATTTCATTTTCTTAATATTTAACAAATTTCTTTTCAGCATTGCCTCTTGTTTACAATGCAGTTCTGCGCTTCCTTCTTCTCTTAGGACAAGTGACGTATCTGAGCTGGAATATATACAAAGATCTGCATTAAATCACAATATTCTAACACTATTGTAGTTACTCACTTGTTGTACAACTTAAGAAAATATCTCACTGGTTTTTCTTGTGTGGTATGTGAGCCTAAAAATTTTAAAGCAAAATTTACAAATAGATTTTCCTCTCTGGTGATAAATTGTGAATAAATTGTTTGATGAAATTAAGGTAGAAAACAGTGTAAAATAGAGACCAGCAGGTGGAGACCTCACGGTCCTTATAGAGGTATTCTAGTAACTAGGACCAGCTATAGTCTAGTTACTGTACCTCTTATTCTATGTTGATAACTGGTACAGACTTCAAGGTTTGCTTCTGGTATTAACTGATTCGGATAATTTTATCAACTGGAAACAGTGTGTGAAATTATTTCATAATTTATTTATGAACGTTCATAATATTTATGAACGTTCATAATATTTATAAACGTTCATAATATTTATGAACGTTCATAATATTTATGAACGTTCATAATATTTATGAACGTTCATAATATTTATGAACGTTCATAATATTTATGAACGTTCATAATATTTATGAACGTTCATAATATTTATGAACGTTCATAATATTTATGAACGTTCATAATATTTATGAACGTTCATAATATTCAATGAGAAAGATGGAAGAAGATTTATATTTCTACTGCAAGAAAACCAATATTATTAATACCTTTCATCTCTAGCTTCGTTCTTTGTTATTTTATAAGTCAAAATTAAAGAGTAAATTTAAGGTGCTGTCTGAAAAGAATTAAATAGTGACAGTAATATTACTGATGTTGTGTACACCAGATTTTTAGCTCTGATAAGTGTTTCTTTGTTATTTGTCAGGTAAACATAATTCAGTATATTTAAAAGTCTTGTTTATACTCTAAAGATTTTATCTTTCTTGTCTGTTCCAACTTAGCTTGTTTCTCAAACTTTTAAGCTTTGAACTGAGACATTAAACTTTTATAGTGAACACAAAGTTCACGCTGCTAGTGGATGGCATACCAGGAGTATTCCTGGAGAGGGTTTCGGGGGTCAACGCTCCCGCGACCCGGTCTGTGACCAGGCCTCATGGTAGATCATAGTCTGATCAACCAGGCTGTTATGCAACCATACGTACGAACCACAGCCCCGCTGGTCAGGTACCGACTTGAGGTGCTTGTCTAGTGCCTGCTTGAAGACAGCCAGGGGTCTATTGGTAATCCCCCTTATGTATGCTGGGAGGCAGTTGAACAGTCTTGGGTCCCTGACACTTATTGCGTTGTCTCTTATCGTTCTACCGACTCCCCTGCTTTCCATTGGGGGGATGTTGCATCGTCTGCCGAGTCTTTTGCTCTCATAGGGAGTGATTTGTTGTGTGCAAGTTTGGTACTAATTCCTCTAGGCTTTTCGAAATGTATATAATCATTCAACTCCCGCCTGCGTTCCAGGGAATACAGTTTTAGGAACCTCAAGCGCTCCCAGTAATTGAGGTGTTTTATCTCCGTTATGTGCGCCGTGAAGGTTCTTTGTACATTTTCTAGGTCAGCAATTTCATCTGCCTTGAAAGGCGCTGTTAGTGTGCAGCAATATTCCAGCCTAGATAGAACAAGCGACCTGGGTTTGGCATACATAGTTTTGAAGGTTCTCATTATCCATTCTGTCATTTTTCTAGCAGATGCGATTGATACAATGTTTTGATCTTTGAAAGTGAAATCTTCTGACATTATCACTCTCAGGTCTTTTACATTAGTTTATCGCTCTATTGCAAGGTTGGAATTTGTTTTATACACTGATATTGTTTTAATTTTCTCACATTTTCCATATCGGAGCAACTCAAATTTCTCAACTTTGAACATATTATTGATTTCTGCGGCTCATTTACAAATTTGGTTGATGTCCGCCTGGACTCTTGCAGTGTCTTCAGTGGTGGACACTCATGCAAATTTGGGTGTCATCTACGAAGCAAAACACGCCATTGTGGCTTACATCCCTGTCCATGTCCCTCTTAGTGAACACAAGGTTCACGCTGCTAGTGGATGTCATTACTCCCACTTATCGAACACAAAGTTCACACTGCTAGTTGATGGCATAACTCCCACTTAGTGAACACAAGGTTCACACTGCCAGTGGATGGCATAAGTCCCACTTAGTGAGCACAAGGTTCACATTGCCAGTGGATGGCATAAGGCCCACTTAGTGAACACAAGGTTAACACTGCTAGTGGATGGCATAAGTCCCACTTAGTGAGCACAAGGTTAACACTGCTAGTGGATGGCATAAGTCCCACTTAGTGGATGGCATAAGTCCCACTTAGTGAACACAAGGTTCACACTGCTAGTGGATGATATAAGTCCCACTTAGTGAACACAAGGTTCACACTGCTAGTGGATGATATAAGTCCCACTTAGTGAACACAAAGTTAACACTGCTAGTGGATGGCATAACGCCAACTTAGTGAACACAAGGTTAATACTGCTAGTGGATGGCAGAAGTCCCACTTAGTGAACACAAGTTTCATGCTGCTAGTGGATGGCCTAATTCCAACTTAGTGAACAAAGTTCACACTGCTAGTGGATGGCATAAGTCCCACTTAGTGAACACAAGGTTCACACTGCAAGTTGATGGCATAATTCCCACTTAGTGAGTACAAAGTTCACACTGCTAGTTTATGGCATAAGTCCCACTTAGTGAGCACAAGGTTCACGCTGCTAGTGGATGGCAGAAGTCCCACTTAGTGAATATAAGTTTCACGCTGCAAGTGGATGGCATAATTCCCACTTAGTGAGCACAAGGTTTACGCTGCTAGTGGATGGCATAAGTCCCACTTAGTGAACACAAGGTTCACACTGCTAGTTGATGGCATAAGTCCCACTTAGTGAACACAAGGTTCACACTGCTAGTTGATGGCATAAGTCCCACTTAGTGAACACAAGGTTCACACTGCTAGTTGATGGCATAAGTCCCACTTAGTAAACACAAGGTTCACACTGCTAGTTGATGGCATAAGTCCCACTTAGTGAACACAAGGTTCACACTGCTAGTTGATGGCATAAGTCCCACTTAGTGAACACAAGTTTCATGCTGCTAGTGGATGGCCTAATTCCAACTTAGTGAACACAAAGTTCACACTGCTAGTGGATGGCATAAGTCCCACTTAGTGAACACAAGGTTCATGCTGCTAGTGGATGGCAGAAGTCCCACTTAGTGAACACAAGTTTCATGCTGCTAGTGGATGGCCTAATTCCAACTTAGTGAACAAAGTTCACACTGCTAGTGGATGGCATAAGTCCCACTTAGTGAACACAAGGTTCACACTGCAAGTTGATGGCATAATTCCCACTTAGTGAGTACAAAGTTCACACTGCTAGTTTATGGCATAAGTCCCACTTAGTGAGCACAAGGTTCACGCTGCTAGTGGATGGCAGAAGTCCCACTTAGTGAATATAAGTTTCACGCTGCTAGTGAATGGCATAATTCCCACTTAGTGAGCACAAGGTTTACGCTGCTAGTGGATGGCATAAGTCCCACTTAGTGAACACAAGGTTCACACTGCTAGTTGATGGCATAAGTCCCATTTAGTGAACACAAGGTTCACACTGCTAGTTAAAGGGCATAAGCCCCAAATTAGGAACACAAGGTTCACACTCTAGTTGATGGCATAAGTCCCATTTAGTGAACAAAAGGTTCCACTGCTATTTTTGGATGGCATAAATCCCACTTGGGTGAACACAATTTAAAGCAGCTAGTGGAGGGCCCAAAAAGCCCCATTTATTAAACCCCAAAAGGTTCACACGGGCAAGTTAAAGGAAAAAACCCCCACTTAAAAACAAAAGTTTCATGCAGCTATTTTAAATGGCATAAACCCCCACTTATTAAAACAAAAGGGTTCACACTGCAAGTTGATGGCATTTTTCCCACTTAGTGAAAAACAATTTCATGCAGCTAGGGAAAGGGCCCAAAAATTCCCATTAAAGGGAAACACAAGTTCACCTTGCTATTGATGACATAAGTCCCACTTAGTGAACAAAAATTTTCCATGCTAGGGGGATGGCAAAAATTCCCACTTATAAAAAACAAATTTTTTCCAGCAGCTTTTGGGATGGCATAAGCCCACTTAGTGAACAAAAGGGTTCACCCCAAAAATTTTAACGGCATAAACCCCCCATTTAGTGAACTTTAAGTTTAAATGCACTAGTGGGAAGGCATAAGCCCCCTTTAAAGTAAACACAAGGTTCACACGCTAGTTATGCCTAAGTCCCACTTAGTAAAACAAAATTTTCACACTGCTATTGGGAGGGCAAAAAAATCCCCCCTTTAGTGAAAAACAATTTTTTCATGCACAAGTGGTTTGGCATAAGTCCCATTTTAGGGGAACACAATTTTTAAACACGCTATTTGAACGGCAAAAAACCCCCCATTTAGTGAAAAAAAGTTTCCCATCCCAGCTAGTGGATGGAAATAACCCCCACTTAGAAAACCCAAAAGGCAAACGCTAGTTGAGGG